GACCTCAGCCAGTTTGAGAGCTGTATGTATCTGAATACAGATATATGAAACCCTGTCAACCTCATCTGTGGCTCTTCCTGAGAAGAAGGGTTGGTTGGGGCTTTGAGCTGCCTCCCTTTATTCTCCTTCCTCAGCAGCGAGAAAGAAGCCTTTCCTAACACCTGGGGCTATGGGTGTTCTGGGACCAGACAAGGTTAAACTCAGGACAGTTCCTGGAAGAGACCTGGGGCTGTTACGGAGCAGTGACTGGATTGTTCCAGAGTATCAGGGACTGACCAGACCTGAGATTTCTGGGATGGCAAGGTAAGGAGAGTGGGAGGGCATCAATAGTGGGAGCTGGAGTGATTTCTGTCAGTCTTAAGGACTTAGCTGAATATGTAGAAATGTTATATGGATCTGCTGGCGTCCATTATGGATAGAGCAGGGATCATGTCTGTTTACTAGTAAGTTTGTGCCAACCACTCGAACACACTAAAAGGTGCCTGCCGGTGGAACAGGATGAAAACAAGAAAGCTTCTAGAGCATGGGGGAAGTTCTTGGGCACTACGAACTCTGAACGAGCACTGATCTGTGTCTAGCTGGGCTCCTTCCCTCACCCGTGAAGCATGAAGTCAGCAGATGAGATGCTGGTGGAGTTCTGTGTGGTCAAAATCCCAACTCTCTTTCCTCTTACAACTCTCTCTTAAGGGGAGTGACTTGCACTTTATGGAACTTTCATAGTATCTTTCATGTATCTTGCTAAAGTAAATATCTTAAGTTTTCTTTGTTTAACTATTTGCAAAAGTATGGCAATTGTGTCCAGACTTATTCATAAAAATTTTTACCAAAGCCTTTTTTAAAAAAGGATTTTAAGAAGGTATTTCAAGGTTGTTAGGTGTCCCGTGACAGGTATCTTCTCAGTATCCCATTCTTTTTTTAAATTTAAGGAACCCCTCCCCAACAAATTATTAACCAGTGCCTTGGATATAGTCACTAATGGTGGAACACAGAGGAGCAAATCATTATGAGTTATGAATAAAGTAAAAATATTTTGATTTGATGCCAGAGTAAATTTTTATTTGTGGCCAATGTAATCCCTTGAATCTGTTTTGCTGGGGCTAACAGTTACATTTCTATCCCTGGTGCACATGGTAAGTAACTGAAAGAGAATCTGGCTAAGGATTATGCTTGTTGGCAAGAAAAACCTAAAACGAGATTTGAAGTGTGCCAATGAAAATTGATAATCTGAATAATTTGCATTATTTGATTATAGCTTAAAAGAACAATGAATCTCACATAACAAGATATGACTCAATAAATGACAGTTATGTAAGGAGGAAACTAGGATAGAGCAAGTTAGATGATTTGGGGAAACCGGAGCTGTGATTGTATTTCACCCAACCTTTATCTAGCAATATCCTAATGATTTGTGCCTTTAAGTTTTACTGGTAAATAAAACTTTTGAATGTGAAATCTGTTGTTGTATTACTTACCAAAATCATTTTTACAAAGAGTTTCCATTATGTCGTTGTCATCATCGTTTTTATTTTTGCAGGCTTCACAAACCTTTGGAGCTAGAAATGGGAAAAAAGTCTTTAGTAAGTTTGCTTAAAAGGGAACAGCAGGTGGCGTTTGTAAACAACTCAAAGGGACTTACCAAGGCTAGAGTAGCAATTGTCCTATATGACCCTAGCTTCTGCCTCTTCTATAAAAGTAGGATCACTCATTCCTAAGAAAGTCTCCCATGCTTCCCATTTTTGGGTGGGAAAACGAGAACACCCATATAATGTGTTTAAAAAACGATGACTTTCAAAAAGGGAGTTGTGGGCAAAGTGTGCAGGGGTGTGTGGCTACTATTAACTGGGACAGGTTGCAGCTTTTCTAGCTCATCCTCCTCACTCCTGGGACTAATTCAGTCTGAAAAAGTTATTCCCAAAGCCTGTCTAAGGAGAAGGCACCAAAAGAACCAAAGATGCTTGAAGGATCTGGGAAAACTGGCAATACAGGCAAAAGGTTGTCCTCAGCAGCAGGACACCAGCGTAGCCCACTCAGTGCATCAGAACTCTGTGTCTCAGGGGACTCATTTCAATATATTTCAAGTCCGGACTGGGAGGGGTTGCTGGCTAGTCTTATAAGGAAGGATTATATACAGCTGTTTCCACCTTACTAAATATGACAGCCTGCTCTTACTCATTCTTTGTCACCTTGTGCTTCTGCTCAGTTTGTGCTTGAGTTAGTATTTATTTCATTGTTATCTACAAACTTCCTGGTGCAGGCTCTTCTTGCCCCTCTTTGCCTGTTTCAAACTCTTCAAAACAAACAAGCAAACAAACAAACCTGCTCCTGAAGCTAATCAAAGGTGAAGCCAAAGTGTTTATGGGGTCTGACCAAACTGAGGAATTGTCTGCTGCTAGCGCAGTTATCAGAGAGACTCTCTAAGAGTCTGATTTCTCAGGAAAAGGAAAAAAAGAAAACATATTTCCTTTCTCTCATTTATAAATGTTAATGCTGTCTTTAAAATTTAGGTGAAATTAGAAAATTTTTCACTTATATGAAATTGAATTTTCCCAGAAAAAACTTTATGTGACTCAGTAGAAGAGTTATTTATCAAATTGGGAAAATCACAGAGCAAATTTTGAAGAACTTTATAAACTTTTATTTTGAAGGAGAAAAGTGCCTTTTTGACGAAATGTACAGTGTATGATGCTGCTGACAGTGAAACAAACAAACAAACAAAAAACCCCCAAAGCATCACCCACAAAACTGCCCTTAACTCCCCTCACCCGAACAAAATCAAACATTTCCAATTAGGAGCTCTCAGAATGTATATAAAATACTACAAACCTGTATTGGTTGGTCTATGGTATATGTTGGACAAATGTTTGAAAAATGCCAAACATTTGCAATAAATTAGAAACCTAACCAATAAGATGATTGCAAACTCATGGTGCCTGCCAGGAAAGATTGCTAAAGAACTTTGCATTTTCTTTAACTAATGATGTCTGTGGGAAAACAATTAGAGATTGAAAGGGAGATGCTGCTGGAGCCCTAAAAGGGATCAGGAAGCCCCCTTTCCATGGGGGGGGTGCAGGGGGGGGACCTAAATCGGCTCCGACACATTGTGTGTGTTTTCTTTTCAGGAAGAATATCAAGAGCCCATGAGGTTTTCATTGCTTTGATGGTTTTTGCACAGGGACTCCCCCTCTGTTTTCTAAAAACTTGAGAATCTGTCTTTCGCGTGATTTTCTCCAGTTAATTAAAACCACCCCTAAGATAAAAGCTGACAGTGATAGAAAGATGATGCCCCGAGATTCCCTTTATGCCCTCTTCCTCCACACCTGGGCAGCTACAACCAGTACTCAATTTTCCACATGCTCCCAGCCCGCCCCGGTTTAATTTTCAAAACCTAAATTGGAAAAGGACAAAGAGGACCTTGAAAGATTATCTGCTTGGGCATCATCCGTCCTGGGTACCCGCCGGCACGGGAACGTTCCTGCGACGGGGATCCTGCCTGGTGCTGAAGGCGGCCAGCGAGGCCGAGCTAGGAGCACACGAGGCCACTCAGAGCGTGGCCCCAGCACCAGCGTCTTCAACAATAATTGTCTCTCTACTTTTTTTCCCCCTTTAAAGCAGCCTTTCAGTTCTTCGTTTTCTTTTCTTTCTTTTTTTCTTAACTGTCCCTAAGTATACCTGGTACAACTCGAGAGAAGAATGACAGACTTGGGTGAGGCCGGGGTGTCTCAAATTGGATACGGGCTTGTCGCGATGACTGACCAGGGCAGGGAGAGCGCCTGTCCTTCCCGGGACTGGCACCCCAAGCGAGGACGCACCGGGATTCCGGGCAGGAGCGGGATCCCCCGGGAGCGGCTCAGCCCAGCTGGGAGGCGGGAAGTGAGAGAGAAGGCTTACCTTCCTCGGTGGCCGGCAGGAGGTGGTCGCTGCTGGCGAGGGGGATGCAGAGGTCGTTGTCCTGGGGGAAGCGGTCGCACTCGAGCATGTCGGGCCAGGGGAAGCCGAAGGCAGACATGACCGGGGCGCAGCGGTCCTTCACCTGCACGCAGAGCGAGTGGCACGGCTGGATGGTCTCGTCCAGGTCGTCGAGGCAGACGGGGGCGAAGAGCGAGCACAGGAACTTCTTGGTGTCCGGGTGGCACTGCTTCATGACCAGCGGGATCCAGGCGCCCGCCTGCTCCAGCACCTCCTTCATGGTCTCGTGGCCCAGCAGGTTGGGCAGCCGCATGTTCTGGTACTCGATGCCGTGACACAGCTGCAGGTTGGCCGGGATGGGCTTGCAATTGCTGCGCTTGTAGGAGAAGTCGGGCTGGCCGAAGAGGAAGAGCCCGCGCGCCGAGCCCAGGCAGCAGTGCGAGGCGAGGACGAGCAGCAGCAGCGAGCCGGGGCCCCGCGGCATCGTGGGCGCGCGACCCCCGGGGGGCGGAGAGCGGAGCCGGGGAAGCGCGAGGCGGCGGGAGCCGTAGCTCGTCCCGGGCCGGCTCGCTTCGCTCGGCGCGGCTCGGGGGCTGGAAAGCCGCGGCCGGAGCGCGGAGAGGCCGGACTCGCGGGGGACGGCGCGGGCGAGGCGCCACTAGCCCGCGCGCAGCACCGGGGGGCTCCGACCCGGGGGAGCAGAGTGAGCCGCGGCTGGGGCACAGCCAGAGTTTTCTTGGCCTTTTTTATGCAAATCTGAGGTGGGGGGAGCAAGGGAGGAGCCAGAGAAGGGTAATCTGAGGAGGGCTGGTCACTACTTTCTCGGTCTGGCTCTCCGTAGAGAATGGCCCTTACGCGCTCCCTGGAAGGAAATTCTGGCTGCGCCCCCTCCCCAGACCCTGCCGCGCGCGCTCCAGGATTGCTTCGGACAACAAACGGGCCTGGCCGCCGCGGCGCCCCCGCAGTGAGCGAGCGGGGCTCGGCGGCGCCCACGGCGGCCGGGTCCTGGCGGGAACGCGCTCCCGCCCCGCGCGGCCCGGGCCGAGCTTTCTGCTCCCCGGCGGGGTGGCCGGGCGGAACGGCGTCCTCGGGAGCCGGGGCCCGCGAGCCGGATGCCCCGGGCTCTCTGTGGCCTGGGCTCCAGCCAGCGACCTGCCCGCCCCAGGCCGCCTCGGCGAACCTTGTTTCCTCCCGAATCTCCAACCACAGTTCAGCAGCTTGGGCCACGCGCCGTGCTCCCCTTGGCCTTAAAAAACGTTATAAATAGAGTAGTGTGGGGAAAGCTTCACACGGGAAACCAAATAACAATAAAGCGTTGGGCTAGGTACTTTGTTGCAGTGAGTGTCTGGAAGATTCTGCCGTTGTAGAAACGCCCCTGCAGAATCCCGCCGGAATCTCACAGGACTGCCCGTCACTCGCTGGGTTGGGAGAAGAGACTTTGCTCCCTTAAATGAATGGGGTGACACAACACTCGAAGGCATCAGGCGCCCTAACACACCCGGCCCTTGCAGCAGGGCGCTCGGGGGAGCCGGAGTGTGGCCCCAGCGCACAGTTTGGAAAGACTGGTGCCCGGCAAGAGAGACCGGCAGAAAAAGTGCCAGGTGGGCAGGCTGGGAAGGAGCTCAGCCTAGAGGCCCACGAGGGCTAGTCGCGGCCTGGGCGGACCCGGCTCGTTCGTCGCGCGTGTACCGCGGGGCGCCGGCGTGCGGAGGTGAACCGACAGGCCGGCCTCTGCTCTCGCTGAGCCGGGGATCTAGTGTCTTTGGGGACTGCAAACAGTAAGTTCGCATCTGTAAACCGCGAATAAGGTGCCAGGAAAGGGAAGGGTAGGTGTGTGTGTGTGTGATGGGCTTTTCCCCTCCCTAGTCACCCCGTCTCCCCTCAAGGCAAGCTGCCCCCGCCCCGCCAACCTTCCTCTAGGGGCGGAGGTGCAGATGCAAAGACACCATCCCCGGAGCGCGAGGTTCTTTCATATGTAAGGTGGGCGCATTGTTACTACTTCCCGCCCACTTAGAGCCAGCGACAGGCTCGGACTGCGGCTGCCCTGTTTCCCTGCTTCCGCCTCGGTGGCCCCCGGCCCAAGTTACCCGGCTCACTCGGTGCTCCCGCTGCTTAGAGGAGGGGTCTAACGAGTGGGTGACGAACGCCCACTCAGGGTTGTCTCCTACCTCTTCCTGGCCGTAAACACGCCAGTAAAATCGCCACTTGAAGGGAGTGCACACTCTGAACTCCAAAAGTCTGCGTCCCTAAGAGCCAACTTTCGTCTTTCCCGCTCTGCCGCGGTTGCTCTGCGGAGGAAGGGCGCGGCGGGCAGTGCAAGGCCGCTCTTCCCCGGACTTGGTCCTGGGCCTTTCCGTCTCCACGGAAAGCACCAAGAGGCCTTTACTCCCGCTCCCCAACACAGACTGCTTTGCAGATAAGCCCTAAGGAAACAGAAGCACAGCGAGCCAAAGAGCTAAGCAGAGCCCGAGCTCCGAGAGACGCGAGGACTTGGCCGGGCACTGGGGTGAGGGCCCGCTCGCCTCCCCTGCCCCAGCCCCATCGCCCACCCTTGGGGTCGCCTCTGCCCTGCAGACCTCCATGCCGGGGGGCTCGAGGAGCCCGGAGCCAGTCGGCCGCACTCCGGGGGTGGCCGGGGGTCCCGGCGCCCCGCCAGCCCGGGCGTTGTTTTGGGAGCCGGGCGGGCGCTCGCCGCCAGGGGGCGCCGGGAGCCGCGCGGGAGTCCCCATCCCCGCCGCCGTGGGACCCGCTCTGGCCGGCCTGGCTGCCCCGGCCGCTGCGCCCACCGCGGCCCTCCTCGCATTCGTGTCCCCGTCCTCGACCCCACCTGCACCTCTGCGTCTGTTTTCCCCTCCTCGGGCGCTGCCCCCTCCCTTTCCCTTCTGCCTCTGGTCGGCGACCGGCTAAGCGCATTCCCGCGTGGCAGGCACGGCCGCGGGACGAGCTGCTTGCTGGGGACAGGGAAATAACCTCCCGCAGGGGCCGGCACCCGGGCGCCGAGCGCTGCCGGCGGGAAACGCGCACGGGCGGGGACGCTGGGTGGCCGTCCCGGTGCAACCGCAGCCACACGTGGTGCACACGCGGTGCTTGCCCCAGGCGGGGCCTTGTTTAACCCGGACTCTTCTCCGCTCCCTGTTGGTCCACAGGTCTCTAACGATCCTAGCAATTTAGCAAAACCTGCCGAATGCTTTTGTTTTCAGTGGCCCTCTCCCCGCCCACTCAGTTCCTTCCCGTTTTAGGAACGGAAACTCTGTTCCCCCAAACGCAGGGTCGGTGGAGATGGGCGCGCACTCCGCCGTGGACGGCTCGAAGGGGCCGCCCAGGGTCCCTGGCGGCGGGGTCGGTCCGGACCACACAGGGGACGGCACCCCACCCCAGCGCTGCAGGCTGCAGAGGAGCCTCGACAGCCGCGCCCTGGATTTGGCCTCACTTCTCTGCTCGAGGGTGTCATGTGGTCAGGGCACCTAGAAGCTAGACGGACGAAGAGGGCTCCCCTCAATCTGTCCAGAGCGATGTGGCTTCTGGGTCAAATCCGTGCTGGCCGTAAGGGTTTTGGGGTCGGCAGGACCCTCACTCCCCTGCTCAGAGGCTCTGTCCTGTCCGGGAGGGGGGGGGGCTGCCGCGCTTCCAAGAAGAGCAGTGGAAAGCGAGCCCCCTTCGTCCCCACCCTACCCCCGCTAGTAGTAAAACGAAAGCGTATGGACCCTTCTTTCTGAGAAGCGAGAAGGGGCGAACACTATGTGTAATGTGCTAGTTTCTTAATTCGCATAATCTGGCACTGGCTGCGGAGGGGCAGCCTCGAATTGGAAACAAGCTTCTTGGCTGCCAATGCTCATACCACTGTCCTGTCCTTCCTTTAGATTGGAAAGCCGGGGGGTGGGGTTCAGTGCATCTTATTAAAACGCACGGCCTGGGGGGGGGCGCCGAGCCTTCGCAGCAACTCCGGAGCCGATGACGCGGCTACACGGGGAGCGGCCCATGTGACTGGTCGCACGGAGGAGGGCGACCCGCGCCCACGCTAAGAGGCTGCACCGACTGACCGAGGCCACCCTGGCTCATGCAATTCTAACTGCCACCCGGCAGGTGCGTGTGTTACCATTTTGCACATAAGTAGTCACGAGGAAACTGAGGCCCAGAAGGGTTAATAAGTAACTTGAAGCAGGTCACGCAGTAAGTGGGACAGCTGGGGGCGTTACATGTGCCTAGGTGAAATCGGCGACATCGCGGCCCAGGCCGGCCTTGCGGACCGGTCCTGACCTGTCGGGTGTCTCCAACGGCGCGGCTGCGTGGCTTTCGTCCACGCGCAGGCCAGCGGCGAGAGTGACGTCACTCCTCCTCCGGGACACCGCGGCCCGGCCGTCCCGGCTCCGGGTGGGGCTCGCGGCGCGCCAGCCCCGAGCACTTTCGGCGGGATGCGCGGCAGCCATCTGAGGGCGCCATCCCCCAAACAGAGACTGTCCCTTACGGATGCGAGTCGGCTGCCTTCACTCTCCCGAAGCTCTGCTATCCTTTACAGTTTTACTTGTTGGGCGTGAGGATGGCGTTTTTGTGGGGGAGTGGGGGGATTCCCTCATTCCCTCGCTTGGGTCCTGCCAGCACCCGGCCCGCAGAGAGTCGCCCCCGCGGGACGGCAGCTTCCCTGCGCCAGCGCACGGGGACAGGTGCCCGCGCTCCGCAGCCGCGCGGCTCCACGTGCCCTTCGGACCCCAGCGGTTCAGACGCTGCCTTCCGAGGACGAGACCAGGGCCTGCGACCAGAGAACCTTTGCTTCTCCTTCCCAGAAAAGAATAGTCCAGTCTGAGGGCGAACAGTTTGCCAACTCCTAACCCGAGCGCCTGCGAGTATCTCAAACACTTCAAGGGGCGATTGGGCCCCAAGTCAGGGCTGGGAAAGCAAACGAGAGGTCCTGGGAGACCCGGCCCCGCCAGAGCCCCCTGTCCCCGCCCGGCAGGGACAGTCGCGGGCTCAGCGCCCCCTTTGTGCCCCGGGGCTGGAGGAGGGGGCGCGCGGGAGGCGCGGCCGAGATGCAGACGGTGCTTGGCAGGAGCCACCCCAAGGCCCGACCCCTCCTTGCCACGAAGGAGTCCGCCCGGGGGACAGCTGTAATTGCCCGGGTCAGTGTAAGCAATTTGGTCCGTGGGTTCAAAGCCGGCGTGAACCTGCTCAAGTCCTCGAGTTGTCTCTGTCCCAGGTACAACAAACTTGCCCACTGAGCATGGATGCTTTTGGAGTTCAGCAGAAAATGACTAAAAAACAATTACTCCAACATGATAAAAACAATTAATACCTACAATGGTAACCTGCCACTCCAACAGAACATTTTCTCGCTCTTCCCCGGCCCCACGAGTGTTTTGGACAACAGCCGACCGGGGACGGACTGAGAAAGCTGTTCTACAGCACAGTGCGCCGCTCTCCTGGAGACTGTCGGCAGGTGCCTCGGGACAGACCAGCTTCCATTCCTTCCATTGCTCCTGCAATGCGAAAATGGCCCTAGAAATTTTGGCAGCAGGGGTGGAGCTAGGACATGGCATGTCCTGATTGCATCTCTGTGCTGCCTCTGCTTGAAATAAACCTGGGGGCGGGGAGGGGGGCAGTTCACTGACATTGATTCCTGGGAAGGAGTCCCACACCCTCCCAGCAGCCTTTTATTTACAGGATGAAGTCTCAGATTTGCTGGGCCAGTAGAAATTCCTTGGTGTTCAGGTTCAAAAAAATTTGAAATTAGTGTCCACTGTGTACACCTAGTCCATTTTGCACTCTTAAACACGGACACAGTTATGGGTACGCTTCCTTTCCTCTCTCTCCTGCCCCTTCCATCGCAACTTTCCCTGTCTTTTCCTGGGGTGCTAGTAGTTTATTGCTCACTGATGTGTTGCAACTGCTGATGAAACCCTTGAAATGCAGTATCTCCTAATTGCTCACATTAGGAAATCCTGAATGGAAGCAGCAGAAACCCAAGGCCATTCACAGAGGGCCGTCCGCAGCCACAGAGCGGCTCTGGGAAGAAAGACCTGCTCCATTGTCTGATGTGAACAGCAGGGGTCACTGGCTAAGCTGGTGTTTCACTCTGGTGAGAATTTATTGCCATCAGATAAGAGCACAAAGTCAATACAATGAAGCCTGTTGGCTCTACAGCAACAGATGGAATCTGAGTTCCTGCACACATGTACCATCTTTCCAGAGACAAATCCCAGAATAAAAAGCCCTTTGTCATTCTTAACTGAACTGAATGTTAGGGACACTTTTCCATACTCTGTGTGTGTTTGTCTGTTTGGGTCTTTCTCTATAATGGTAGATTTTTATGCCATCCGAACTAAGACATTTATCAGATTGATTAAAGTGATTTATCCTTTTATGACATACCTAGCCTTAGTAACACACAAGATTCACAGCACAATTAAATCTGTAAATTAGAAAGGAAGTGTTTTGGGTTGATTTAGTAGTTTCTAACTATAGTATAGTTTCTAACTATAGTATCTACCCTTAGCACTCTGAATTCATTGGCACTATTAACACAATTGCATTAGTTAGTCTAATAGTTCCTAATAGTTTGTAAATTTCCAGTGGTGCAGTGGGGAGTGAAATATTGTGTAGAAATAACATTTCCAAATGTAAAAATTGGGTTATTGGTAGATGGTTAATCTGTGAAGTGTCTAGTGATCGCCTTGGCCATGTTGTTCAGAGCGTTGCTGTTTTTCCTTAGTTTCCTTGAAATTTTAATTAATTAAAGAAATGCATGACAGGTTCTGCCCTGGAAGTAAATAAGAAAGAAAAGAGA